TCCGCGTTTTTTAAAGTATCAACTCTTCTCACTAAATACTTTGTCTGTGGGCGGGAGAGCAAATGCAACAGAATATATTTGTTTAACAAAAAGTTTGGTGTACAACAGACAGGACTTCAGTGGAAAGGGGGAGGTGCAGGATACAGAAATGGTGATGATGCAACTGTCATCATCATAATCACCTTTATTTAACCATATTAAAAAAAAAACATGGAGATCAAGATCTCTTTTCCACGGGTGACCTGGCCAAGAGCAGCCCATGTCATGAAAGAACCATCAAAATTAACCATATAGGATAAAACAGTGTTATCCATCCAGCCACCATCTTTACTCGATTCTTGCTTTCCGGGTCACTCAGGTCACTGGAATCCATATCTAACAGTCACTGTGCGAGAGGCGCGGACACCCTGGACAGGTCTCCAGTCCATCACAGGGACACACAGAGACAAACGAGACAAACATTCACTCTCTCACTCATTCCTAGGGACAATATAGTTACCAATCAGTCTAACATGCATGTTTTAGGTCTGTGAGAGAAAATCAGAGTACCTGGAGAAAACCCACTCATGCACGGAGAGAACATGCAAACTCCATACAGGCAGGTCCCCAGCCGGGATTCGATCCGGCAACCTTCTGAAAGGTGGCAGCTCTACCAACTGCGCCACCTCGCCACCCTTCCTAAATACAATTTCAGGAAAAATAATAATAATAATTTAAAACAACCAAAAATGCTCAAACTGAGGGCATAGAGTAACTTGGAAATATTTTACATTTTTGATTTTGTCAATGTAATTCACCTAAGACAAATGGAAAATTAGGAGTTCACATTGTAAATATTTGAAAAGCAGTTTTTATTCAAACTGGAGCTGCATGATATCAGGAAAACATGTAGATATAAAAGGAGTTGTTATATCCACAATGTGCAATCATCATTTTATTCCCTCCTTGTTTTCTTGTTCAGAGCTTCTTCTCTTACATTTTTTTTTTTTTTTTAGAATCCAACTACTTTTTGTCTGTGGTTATTTTGACTTGTGTACCTTTAATAGTTATTGGAATATTTACTTTTATTTGCAAAAACTTTCCAAAGGCCACAGTAGCTTGCTAGTATAAGTGTTGCGGCTTCACAATCAGTGCGAGTTCACTCACCAGGGCTACTCCTGCAGATGGGAATTTTTAAACTAAATGTTTACTTATATAAATACATTGTGATCTCTTTCAAAAATACCTTATTCTATAAAATCTGATTCAGCATAATTTGTCTATTTTTGCCTTTTTAAGTTACTTTTAGCTTTTATCTACACAGCTGTCCAAGATGGCCGCGCTCAGAGCAGTTGCAGCTTCACAGGCTCCCGGTACCATCCCAGTTTTTAGAAGTTTTGATATTGACTCTGTGCCTGACTCCGCGCGATTTATGCGTGTGAACTATAGCCGAACCGAACTGATGAGAATAGGAGCGGATTTGCCACGAAATATAGCAGAAATCAGCAACAAACTCAAAGCTACGCTCGGCAGAATGCAGATCTTAAAGTCATCTACCTGGAAGCTGCAGCAGAGGCGTTCCAGCGGGCAGAAGAGGAAGCGCTGCTCCCGGCTTAAGAGGAGAGGATGCCGGGCGGGGGTTATGGTGAGGCTACGAGCTAACGCTAAAGCCGGTAAACTCCCCATGCCGTCTCTCTTTCTGTCGAATGTCCGCTCGTTGGACAACAAGGTGGATTTACTTCGTCTGAGAGCGGGCGCCTCAGAAGAGATGAAGAAGTGTGCAGTGCTTTGCCTCACGGAAACGTGGATTACAAGTGAAACGCCGGACTCAGTCTTCCAGCTGGATGACAGACTTTTTTTTCGAGCGGACCGCTGCAGCGAGCTAACGGGGAAATCACGGGGGGGCGGAGTGTGCATTTACGTGAGTAAAAGTTGGTCCATGAACTGTACTGTTGTAAATAGCTCATGCTCGAAGGCTTTGGAGCAAATAACAGTGAAATGTCGGCCACATTATCTACCCCGCGAGTTCACAGTGACTTTTATCACAGTTGTTTACATTCCTCCGGACGCTAATGCTAACGAATCACTACAGGAGCTTCATGATATCATCAGCTCGCTGCAGAACAAACACCCCGAGGCTCTTTACGTGGTAGCCGGAGACTTTAACCACGTGAATCTAAAGGACTGTCTCCCAAGCTTTAATCAGCATGTGACGATTCCAACACGTGGAGACCGCACGCTGGACCGTGTTTACACGAACGTAAAAGATGCATACAAAGCCGAACCCCGCCCCCACCTAGGACTGTCAGACCACATCTCAATCTTCCTGGCTCCTGCTTACATGCCCCCGCTGAGACGCTCCAGACCGGTACAAAAGAAAGTTAAATGTTGGAGCCAGGACAGTGGACCCATACTGAGAGATTGTTTTGATCGAACAGACTGGCAGGTTTTCAGAGAAGCTGCTGAAAATGGAGGTTCGCTTGATCTTGACCAATACACATCCTCAGTACTGGGTTACATTAGTACATGTACTGACACAGTCTCCACTATCAGAAATGTTAAAAGCTACCCAAACAGAAAACCTTGGCTGAATGCAGAGGTGCGTACCCTGCTGGAAGCCAGGAACACTGCCTTCAGGTCTGGAAACTCAGAGGAGCTGAGTAGGACAAGAAAAGAGCTGGTTGCTGGTATTAAGAGGGCCAAGGCCACATATGCAAAGAGGATCGAGGGTCAATTCATCTCACAAGACCCTCGGAGCATGTGGAGGGGCATTAAGTGCATAACAGATTATAAAGGAAGGAGCGAACAATGTCCCAAAGACCCATCTCTGCCTGATGCCCTCAACAAGTTCTATGCACGCTTTGAAGACCCGAACAGACCACCCAGCACCAGACTTACCTCGCCACCGGATGAAGAGCATCTCAGCGTGACCTCAGCAGAAGTAAGGAGTACCTTCAGGAGGATTAATCCGCACAAAGCAACTGGCCCAGACAACATCCCCGGAAAAGTGTTGAAGGAATGTGCTGATCAGCTCTGTGAGGTGCTGGCAGACATCTTTAACACCTCACTTACCCTGGAGACAGTTCCCACCTGCCTGAAGACTGCCACCATCATCCCAGTCCCAAAAAGCTCTACAGTGACTGGTCTGAATGACTATCGGCCAGTGGCCCTCACCCCGATAGTCGCTAAATGCTTCGAAAAACTGGTCATGACTCACATCAAAACAACCATCAACATCAACGAGGACCCTCATCAGTACGCATACCATGAGAACCGATCAACAGAGGATGCAATCTCCTCTGTGGTCCACACTGCACTCAACCACCTGGAGCAGAAAAACTCTTACGTCCGTATGCTCTTTGTGGACTTCACATCCGCCTTCAACACCATGATCCCCCAAACCCTGATGGACAAACTATCCACACTAGGACTAAGCCCCTCCATCTGCAACTGGGTACTAGACTTTTTAACAAACAGACCACAGTTAGTGAGGATCCACAACCTCTCCTCCTCCACCATAACCCTCAGCACTGGCTCTCCTCAGGGATGTGTGTTGAGCCCCCT